TTCTTGTGTCTCATTCCCCACCTGGCCATCGCGCTGTCCACACTTGTCTCTGGTACCAGCTGCTCCCACCACCCCTTACCTGAGCCAGTAAGCCATGTTTCAACTGGAACCTCATCTTACATATATAAAGGAGTTTCATTTTGAATTTGATTCCAAGTCATCTTTAGCTATTATATAATACAGTACTTGCTATATTAGGCCATAGGGAGCTAATCTTGCACTAAGTATATATATATTTAGGGCTATTAATATTTATATATTGATTTTTATGCTGTGTTCACTACTGCTCTAACAACTTCATAACATTTATGTTCAGTTGTGCTTAGTTCTCAATTGATATTTCTGAACGTGTTACTGCTGAAGATCCTTGTCATTGCTACCAGAGTTATAGATGGGATTTTCTCTGCATATTTTCCCAGTAACGTGAAAATAAATTTTAGAAAAGCATTGTTAACAACGACAAAAACCCAGTATCGTATTGACATCAATTACCCCAGTATCGTTGTTACGCCATATGACCCCAGTATCGTTGTTACATCATATGACCCCAGCATCGTTGCTACATCATATGACCCCAGTATCGTTGTTACATCATATGACCCCAGTATCGTTGTTACATCATATGACCCCAGTATCGTTGTTACATCATATGACCCCAGCATCGTTGCTACATCATATGTCCCCAGTATCGTTGTTACATCATATGACCCAGTATCGTTGTTACATCATATGACCCAGCATCGTTTGCTACATCATATGACCCCAGTATCGTTGTTACATCATATGACCCCAGCATCGTTGCTACATCATATGACCCCAGCATCGTTGCTACATCATATGACCCCAGTATCGTTGTTACATCATATGACCTCAGTATCGTTGTTACGTCATATGATCCCAGTCTCGTCAAAAAAAGCAATTGCAGTAATTATTCATACTGTACCTGTATTGCTAGCTAACTGACGGGGCTTCACAATTCTAATATTCTAAATTTCATTTTTATTTTGTCCCAGAACCTTAATAAGCTTTGAAAATAATTTATTATATGAATAATTTATTATATAAATTTTCCAGAGTATTGGCATTTAGGCATTTAATTACCACTTGTTGCAATGAGATTTAAAATATACCCTGGAAACTAACACTTTTTGAGGGCTATACCAATTTCCATGTAAATACTTTGAGAGAAGTGTATATACATCAAGGTGCACAACTCATTACTTAAACACTTGAAGTTTACAGTATAGATGAGATTATTAAGGATAAAATTCTCCTTAAGTGGTATGCAAGTGACCTGCAACCGTAATGGCTCTCTAGTTGTAATGTTAAATTTTAAATCATAAAAACTTTCTATTCCATCTCACATTTGTCTATTAAACATTTAGCAGCTATTCGTGTTATTAATTACGGCAACGAGCAGGCCACATAATTACATTTGAGGCGGGACAAGACAAGTGAATATCGTTGTTTGATGTGCACACAGAACTATGGAGAGACGGTCCAACACTCCACCTCACTACTTCTGACGCAGGACAAGGCAGGTGTATACCATTGTTTGATCTCCACACAGAACTATGGAGCGAAGGTACAAGTTCCGACCCACAACATTGTCAGAGCGTGCATGGATTGTGTGGATGTGGCAGTACGGTCTGTCTGCCAGACACATCGCCCAGGAGAGTGGCACCAGTGTCACTACCGTCTGCAGGTGGATACGACGCTGGAAACAAGACGGTAACCTCAATACCCGACCTCGAAGTGGAAGACCTCCCCTCCTTACGAATGGAAGTGAACAGTATATCAGACCAAGCACATCACTGGAACGTTTTCCTTCAGACAATGTTGTCTACTTACTCCATCACCGACGAACTGCAGGACTGCGATGTTTTCTTGAGAAAAGCAAACAGTGTTGGCAAACATCAGATGGCAATCAATGTAGTTCCAATGACGCTTATGGAGTTTACACATATAAGTGAATCCCTAAGAGAAAAATTCATAAATAAATTCAGAAATAGTGTGACTTTGTAAATGGTCCAAGCCGGACCGAAACGTCGTCGTAAGCTCCTCTCTTCTATGTGCGGGTTGTGTAAAAAATTCATCTTTGTATACCATAAACAATACATTTTTCTGTTATTTAAGTGAGTCTACGGGAAAACATGCAAACATGTAACAGAATTATGCAGCATCCTTGTAGAAAAATAAACTAAATAGTAATTATTTAGTATTTTAATATTGTGTCCGTGGTGTCCGTGGTGTGTGCCTGTACTTGTGTTAAGTGCGGATGCGCACGCGCTTGAGAGTTTTGTAATTAACTGCATGCACTTTGCGTAAGTGGATATAGGACTGTGTTAGTTTAAATTTGTAATTTATAATAAATAAAGTATTGATTTCCATGCAATAACTGAAGAATGCCTCTAAAGATGAGTTTCAACAAGTTTATTATCTTGAAGATTGAGACACTTATGCAGCATATGGGAATCTTTATTCAGGAAACGTTTCGCCACACAGTGGCTTCATCAGTCCACTACAAAGAGGAAGGCGTAAGGAGAGGAGGAGTATGAGGTATCAGTCCCTCAGCCTGGAGTCGATGTGTTCAGTCCATCAATCTTGTAGAATGTACATTCTACAAGATTGATGGACTGAACACATCGACTCCAGGCTGAGGGACTGATTACCTCATACTCCTCCTCTCCTTACGCCTTCCTCTTTGTATTGGACTGATGAAGCCACTGTGTGGCGAAACGTTTCCTGAATAAAGATTCCCATATGCTGCATAAGTGTCTCAATCTTCAACTTGTCGGTTTTTTCAAGCCATTCATCACAAGTTTATTATCTTGCTGAGTGGTTTTTTGCAAACATTCTACCATTAGATAACCCGTCGATATTTCAGATTACTTGTCATAACCATTACTTGTGGTTGACAAGAGATGGTGGATATCAGGTCGTTGATAGTGATCCTCTCCACCGCTGTGCTCATGCTGCTACGCACCTGCCTCGCTATCGTAAGCTGACAGCCGCACTCGCACAGTAGTTTGTCTAAATCAATGTACCATGACACTACTGGAGAGACTTTGACCTGACAGTGTTAGAACAAAGATTCTAACGCTGTTGAGGTGTTTACTGGCCTGCTTTGTCTCTCCTAGCGCTGATAACCTCATTCTTAGTTTCCTCTTCAAGAACATAGTCTCAAGGCCACATGTGTATCATCTTTCTTGTTCCTGCCCGCTTCCCTAGGTTTAGTCTGTTACTTATGGGATATTGAGTGATATATGTAATATTATATATATATATATATATATATATATATATATATATATATATATATATATATATATATATATATATATATATATATATTTTATATATTTATTATATAATAAATATATATATATATAATTATATAATAATATATAGTTATATATATATATATATATAAACATATATTTCAGAATTTTGTGAATCTCGTAAAAACTGCAGAATCATTGTAATTGCAATAGCAGGAAACTGTCTTCACTAAAGCTAGTTAAGCATAAAGTTTAGTTTTTGCTCTGTTTTTGTGTCCACTTCAAGAACTGATAAACAATTCTTAATGTAATAATTGCCCAGTTTTCCTGCATTTTTTGCTGAAAATAAAAAGTAATTAGTTTCTGTAATTACTTTTTATACACTTATATGCAAAACGATAAATTTATGCTAAAATTTTCATTTAAAACAGGAACACTTCCTTCCAAAGTAAGAGAACGAAATACCTTAACAGGAAGTGATGCTGTGAATGCTGTGCTGACAACAGATTCTCCTGTACTCTGCTCATACATTATCTTTGTTGACGGCAAAACTTCATCTCATGCCGTTTTTAAGGTGGGATTTTTTCATATAATGACCCCTTTTCTCGCATTTCACTTTTAGCTTGAAATTTAATTGCATATAATAAACAGATGAGTAGAGCATTAAGATGTTATATAGCATTTTTTTCCCGTTATTTTTTTAGACGATTGGTAACTTGAAAACCCCGGAGGGTATAGTTGTGTTCGAGGTGGCAGGGACTGGCCAAGACTTCAATGTGACGCGAGTGAAACTCTGCAGGGTGGTCGACCAGGCTCGGTGGGTATGTCACTGTCCCATTACTTCTGAGACGAGTACTTCACTTTCTCGTCAGTCTTGAGACGAGTACCTCACTCATATTACTATTAATGAGAGTAAGTTGCTCACTTTATTGCAAATATAGAGTATGTCATGCTCACATTACCGCTTAGGCAAGATTGTCACTCGCATTAGCACTGAGGTGGGTAACTCTCACAGTTCTACTAAGGTGGGTAGGTTAAATAACCTCTGCCATGTTAACATCCACAGCTACGGCAGATGTCGTGGTGTATGAAGATGTTGGTGGTGAGTGATGACATAGATTTCCTCTCAGCCTTCGCTGAGTGCTCCCTCAGAGGTCGTCTTCTGGTGTGGTCGAATAGGCTCCTCGCTGTCACCCGCCTCTCCCTCCAGCAGCTACAGCAACTACACGAGATTTTCTCTCAGACAAATTCTATATTTCTTATCGTGAACGACATCGCAGGATATTTACAGTAACTGTCTCTTGTTTCTTCTATTTGTATAGATTATAATACACCTTTTTCAGTTACTTTACACCAAACTGAAAAACTTAAAACAAAAATACTCTTTAAAGACATTATAAACTTATCTAGAATTTATTAGGCTCTAAAACAAGTACTAGTTCCGTGTATAAAGATTACATAAATCAAAGCTGAGTCAGAGTTATAGATATATAGTATTTATTTCCTTTGCTACAGGTGCAAAATGTATATACAACTTCCATATACACCAAGAGATACCAAGGCATTACAAACTGCCTACTGGACGCCCAAGCGAGGCCTCGTACTTACTACCCACCTTCCTCTCTTCCCTAACAAGTTCTACAAGTTAGTGACGAAAGATGTTGCATGTTTCTCTTTGAAAGGTTGAGATTAGCTACATAAGCTCATTTTAACAGAGAAATGACTTTAGGGTAAAATATCCTGTAAACTTTCATTCAGTACGTAAGTTATTTTTTCTTTATTACTACAAACACCGCGTAGCGATGGAGATTGAACAAAAATTTAGGATAAGATTTTTAACCCCTGAGGGTTAGGCACCCAGGATAACCCATGAAAGGCAGTGCGTTATCTAGGACTGTCTTATTTTCAATGTTTCCACCCTTGCCGGGGATCGAACCACGGCCATTGTGTGTGAGGCTAGAGCGTTGCCTACCAGGCCACGGGACACCCAATTTGTTTAAATTTTCTTTTGTCTATTTACTCTTCTCAAAAGCTCAGGGCTAAAAAACAATATATAATATAATGGGATTAAATCTGGAGTTATCTGAGAGAGTTAGAACAAAGGAAGGGATAGCAGTAATGTTGAAGGATCAGTTATGGAAGGAGAAAAGAGAATATGAATGTGTAAATTCAAGAATTATGTGGATTAAAGTAAAGGTTGGATGCGAAAAGTGGGTCATAATAAGCGTGTGTGCACCTGGAGAAGAGAGGAATGCAGAGGAGAGAGAGAGATTTTGGGAGATGTTAAGTGAATGTATAGGAGCCTTTGAACCAAGTGAGAGAGTCATTGTGGTAGGGGATCTGAATGCTAAAGTAGGAGAAACTTTTAGAGAGGGTGTGGTAGGTAAGTTTGAGGTGACAGGTGTAAATGATAATGGAAGCCCTTTGATTGAACTTTGTATAGAAAGGGGTTTAGTTATAGGTAATACATATTTTAAGAAAAAGAGGATAAATAAGTATACAAGATATGATGTAGGGCGAAATGACAGTAGTTTGTTGGATTATGTATTGGTAGATAAAAGACTGTTGAGTAGACTTCAGGATGTACATGTTTATAGAGGGGCCACAGATATATCAGATCACTTTCTAGTTGTAGCTACACTGAGAGTAAAAGGTAGATGGGATACAAGGAGAATAGAAGCATCAGGGAAGAGAGAGGCGAAAGTTTATAAACTAAAAGAGGAGGCAGTTAGGGTAAGATATAAACAGCTATTGGAGGATAGATGGGCTAATGAGAGCATAGGCAATGGGGTCGAAGAGGTATGGGGTAGGTTTAAAAATGTAGTGTTAGAGTGTTTAGCAGAAGTTTGTGGTTACAGGAAAGTGGGTGCGGGAGGAAAGAGGAGCGATTGGTGGAATGATGATGTAAAGAGAGTAGTAAGGGAGAAAAAGTTAGCATATGAGAAGTTTTTACAAAGTAGAAGTTATGCAAGGAGGGAAGAGTATATGGAGAAAAAGAGAGAGGTTAAGAGAGTGGTGAAGCAATGTAAAAAGAGAGCAAATGAGAGAGTGGGTGAGATGTTATCAACAAATTTTGTTGAAAATAAGAAAAAGTTTTGGAGTGAGATTAACAAGTTAAGGAAGCCTAGAGAACAAATGAATTTGTCAGTTAAAAATAGGAGAGGAGAGTTATTAAATGGAGAGTTAGAGGTATTGGGAAGATGGAGGGAATATTTTGAGGAATTGTTAAATGTTGATGAAGATAGGGAAGCTGTGATTTCGTGTATAGGGCAAGGAGGTATAACATCTTGTAGGAGTGAGAAAGAGCCAGTTGTGAGTGTGGGGGAAGTTCGTGAGGCAGTAGGTAAAAATGAAAGGGGGTAAGGCAGCCGGGATTGATGGGATAAAGATAGAAATGTTAAAAGCAGGTGGGGATATAGTTTTGGAGTGGTTGGTGCAATTATTTAATAAATGTATGGAAGAGGGTAAGGTACCTAGGGATTGGCAGAGAGCATGCATAGTTCCTTTGTATAAAGGCAAAGGGGACAAAAGAGAGTGCAAAAATTATAGGGGGATAAGTCTGTTGAGTATACCTGGTAAAGTGTATGGTAGAGTTATTATTGAAAGAATTAAGAGTAAGACGGAAAATAGGATAGCAGATGAACAAGGAGGCTTTAGGGAAGGTAGGGGGTGTGTGGACCAGGTGTTTACAGTGAAACATATACGTGAACAGTATTTAGATAAGGCTAAAGAGGTCTTTCTGGCATTTATGGATTTGGAAAAGGCGTATGACAGGGTGGATAGGGGGGCAATGTGGCAGATGTTGCAGGTGTATGGTGTAGGAAGTAGGTTACTGAAAGCAGTGAAGAGTTTTTACGAGGATAGTGAGGCTCAGGTTAGAGTATGTAGGAAAGAGCGAAATTATTTCCCAGTAAAAGTAGGCCTTAGACAAGGATGTATGATGTCACAGTGGTTGTTTAATATATTTATAGATGGGGTTGTAAGAGAAGTAAATGCGAGGGTCTTGGCAAGAGGCGTGGAGTTAAAAGATAAAGAATCACACATAAAGTGGGAGTTGTCACAGTTGCTCTTTGCTGATGACACTGTGCTCTTGGGAGATTCTGAAGAGAAGTTCCAGAGATTGGTGGATGAATTTGGTAGGGTGTGCAAAAGAAGAAAATTAAAAGTGAATACAGGAAAGAGTAAGGTTATGAGGATAACAAAAAGATTAGGTGATGAAAGATTGGATATCAGATTGGAGGGAGAGAGTATGGAGGAGGTGAATGTATTCAGATATTTGGGAGTGGACGTGTCAGCGGATGGGTCTATGAAAGATGAGGTGAATCATAGAATTGATAAGGGGAAAAGGGTGAGTGGTGCACTTAGGAGTCTGTGGAGACAAAGAACTTTGTCCTTGGAGGCAAAGAGGGGAATGTATGAGAGTATAGTTTTACCAACGCTCTTATATGGGTGTGAAGCATGGGTGATGAATGTTGCAGCGAGGAGAAGGCTGGAGGCAGTGGAGATGTCATGTCTGAGGGCAATGTGTGGTGTGAATATAATGCAGAGAATTCGTAGTTTGGAAGTTAGGAGGAGGTGCGGGATTACCAAAACTGTTGTCCATAGGGCTGAGGAAGGGTTGTTGAGGTGGTTCGGACATGTAGAGAGAATGGAGCGAAACAGAATGACTTCAAGAGTGTATCAGTCTGTAGTGGAAGGAAGGCAGGGTAGGGGTCGGCCTAGGAAAGGTTGGAGGGAGGGGGTAAAGGAGGTTTTGTGTGCGAGGGGCTTGGACTTCCAGCAGGCATGCGTGAGCGTGTTTGATAGGAGTGAATGGAGACAAATGGTTTTTAATACTTGACGTGCTGTTGGAGTGTGAGCAAAGTAACATTTATGAAGGTTGGACTTGAGTCCTGGAGATGGGAAGTACAGTGCCTGCACTCTGAAGGAGGGGTGTTAATGTTGCAGTTTAAAAACTGTAGTGTAAAGCACCCTTCTGGCAAGACAGTGATGGAGTGAATGATGGTGAAAGTTTTTCTTTTTCGGGCCACCCTGCCTTGGTGGGAATCGGCCAGTGTGATAAAAAAAATATATTGCTGAATTCAAAAAAATAAATGGTTTAGCTAATATCTCCTGTTGTTGAGTGAGCTGGTTGGGCTGGTACCTCTGGTAGCAGTAGTACCCAGGCAGTATCTTCCGTAGTGGGGTGGTATAACTAATCTATTTCTGCAGGTTCCTTCAGAAGACATCACTAGTGGTGGCGGCAGAGCAGTATGAACCTCATGTTAATTTACTCAGCCACGAGACACTTCATGGTACAGAAGTAACATTCTCAGGACCTATGATCAACCTCCTTGAAATATTTGCCCACAACATCAATTTCTCGTTAGCAAAGTTTTTAAATTTATATTGTGTATCATATACCTTATCTGTGTGTAATATTTATTGCTATTAAATGTAATTTCTCACTATAATAGATACTAACTCTCATATCAAATGTGACATAGGAAATGAATCATGAGACATGTATAGAAGATGCTGGTCAACATTTAAAAGGTATTTGTCATACAAATTATAATGTTCCTTCAGGTACAAGATAATGCGTCCTCCTGACGGAGCTTGGGGAGCTAAGATGCAAGACGGGTCTTGGATAGGCATGGTGGGAATGGCTGTCAGGAAGGTATGTAATTGTTGTAGGAATATGTAGATAGGTTCTGGTCCAGAGTAGTGAATCTAGAGACGTACAGAGTTGGGCATCAAGGAGAATAAGTTGTAATTTGCAACTCTTTTTATGGTAAGTTGATAATGACAAAACATATCTGAAAAAAATATCGTTTGTTAATCAAGTTTTATATTTTTTCATTGTATAGTAATATCAAAAACTTTATTATATCAGCGGCATTAATTATATGATTACCAATAAACATAAAGTGACAAAAGCTGTCGTGAAACTATTAACGTACCACCTGTCTGTTCCACCTGTCTAAATTCCAGCTGTTTGTATTCCACCATTCTGTTCCAACTATCTATTATTTCTTTCCGCAGTGTCTGATTAGTTTACGCAAATCACAGCTTTATTAACAATAATCCGGCCTAAAAGTCCTCTCGTCAATTATAATAATAATTAATAAATTATTTCATTTATTGGAAGCACCCAATAAAGCAGCTGTGCAACAGGAGGCTAGTTTGGTCTCAGGAAAAGGAGTGAAAACTCTAGCTCCTCGGACCAAGAGCCCTTTATCAAAATGCTCACTGAAGGGTCTTTTCAACTAATGAGGACAATATGAACAAAAATAATTATGCTGCTTCGTTGCAAACCATGACAAAATACTTTTTTTCAAAAGTTAAAGTAATACCAAATCTATCTTAAATGAACCATTATCTTTGTAAGAAATTCATTATTTTTCCTAATAATAAACGTAACCCGCCTTCACAGGAGGTTGATTTTGGTCTTGGCCCGTTTGGAATTACCGCTGTTCGTTATGAAGTGGTGGACTACACAAGGCCAGTAGTAATTGATTACGGCAGGATCATGGCCATGCGGGGACGGTCTGAGGTGGATCCCTGGGGCTTTGTGTTGCCCCTGCACCCCTAGTGTGGGCTGCCACCCTGACGACGTTGCTGCTACTGTTCCTTATGCTGTTCCTTCTCTCAAAATGTTCCTCTTACCTGCACGTCAGTCGAGAGGATAAGGCATCCTACAGTGTTTTAGATTACTTACGAGTGTTATTGCAGCAAGGTATGCTTCTCTAGGTCAACGTAATCGCTAAAACTAAGACACGTTATATAATGCAAATAATTTTTTTTTCAAATACAGTGGAACCTCGGTTTTCGTCATTAATTCGTTCTAAAAACTCTGACGAAAACCGAATTCGAAGAAAATTGAAGCAACATTTCCATAAGAAATAATGTAAATCCAATTAATCCATTCCATACACCCAAAAGTATTAACAAAAAATACATTTTATAGAGAATAACTATAGTTTTACATACAGAAAATGATGAGAAATATAAAGGACTAATGAAATGAATATATGAACATTTGACATCACTTTTACCTTTATTGAAGACTCTTGTTGGAGTATGGAAGACAGTGAGGAGGGGAGAGGAGAGAGAGGTTATCTCTACCACCACTACCACCCTCTCCCACCATCACTACCACCCTCTACCACCATCACTACCACCCTCTACCACCATCACTACCACCCTCTCCCACCATCACTACACCCTCTCCCACCATCACTACCATCGTCTACCTCCATCACTACCACCTCTACCACCATCACTACCATCCTCTACCACCATCACTACCACCTCTACCACCATCACTACCACCCTCTACCACCATCACTACCACCCTCTACCACCATCACTACCATCCTCTACCACCATCACTACCACCCTCTACCACCATCACTACCACCCTCTACCCACCATCACTACCACCGTCTACCTCCATCACTACCACCCCTCCCACCATCACTACCATCCTCTCCACCATCACTACCACCCTCTACCACCATCACTACCACCGTCTACCCCATCACTACCACCCTCTCCCATCATCACTACCACCTCTACCTCCACAACTGCCACCCTCTACCACCATCACTACCACCCTCTCCCACCATCACTACCACCGTCTCCCACCACCTACCACGTCTACCTCTCACTACCACCCTCTACCATCATCACTACCACCCTCTACCACCACAACTGCCACCCTCTACCACCATCACTACCACCCTCAACCACCATCACTACCACCCTCTACCTCCATCACTACCACCCTCTACCACAATCACTACCACTCTCTACCTCCACTACCACCCTCTACCTCCATCACTACCACCCTCTACCACCACCACTGCCACCCTCTACCACCATCACTACCACCCTCTACCACCATCACTACCACCCTCTACCACCATCACTACCACCCTCTACCTCCTCACTACCACCCTCTACCACAATCACTACCACTCTCTACCTTCATCACTACCACCTTCTACCACAATCAATCACTACCACTCTCCCACCATCACTACCACCCTCTACCACAATCACTACCACTCTCTACCTTCATCACTACCACCCTCTACCACCATCACTACCACCCTCTACCACCATCACTACCACCCTCTACCACATATACTACCACTCTCTACCACCATCACTACCACCCTTTACCAATCACTACCACTCCTACCTCATACCACACCTCACCCGTCACTACCACTCTCTACCCTCCATCACACCACCACCCTCCACCACCATCACTATCACCCTCTACCTTTTTAGAGGGTGGTGGTGATATTTCTCCACAAAACTTTGCAACTCATTCTAAGAGTTCTTTCTTGAATTCTATCCTGTTTCTCGGTTTCTTTATCAAAGGGCTGGCACTTAGAATTTTCTTTGGCCCCATGGTGGCTTATTTAGCAGTCACATTCAATAAACAAGCACAAAAAACAATGGATTATTACGAAATGTTTCGGATGAACAAGCAAGGTAATCCTCACGCGATGAGAATACAAAGCCAGACTGACTCAGAATGCATGGGATGCTTTGTGTGGGCGCTGGCAGGCAGGACACGTTCAGTACAGCTGGCCACTGTCAACTCGACGAAAACAAAGGTGATAAACGAAAACTGGGACAAAATTTTGACGGAAAAAGTCGTCGAAAACCGATTTCAACGAAAACCAGGGCAAACGAAAACCGAGATTTCACTGTAATTAGAATAGTGAATGGAAATTTTGAGGACTTTTTTTCACACTCAAGGACATATATTTTATTTTTTCTTACCTGAAAACCTCCATCTCTCAGCTGTCTAGACTATTCTCATTTAAATTTCATAGCGGTAGGAGAGATTATAGGCTTATAGGTTCTGTATCGACATCCACTCTACATATTCAAGATTAGGTAACACACACACACACACACACACACACACACACACAACACACACACACACACACACACACACACACACACAACACACACACACACACACACACATACACACATACACACACACACACACACACACACCTGGAACACTGGAGCACCTGGAACGGAACAGGAGTATAAATGCCAACCAGCACGGATTCACGGAAGGCAAATCCTGTGTCACAAACCTTCTGGAGTTTTATGATAAAATAACAGAAGTAAGACAAGAGAGAGAGGGGTGGGTTGATTGCATCTTCTTGGACTGCAAGAAGGCCTTTGACACAGTTCCTCACAAGAGATTAGTGCAGAAGCTAGAGCATCAGGCGCATATAACAGGAAGGGCACTGCAATGGATCAGAGAATACCTGACAGGGAGGCAACAACGAGTCATGGTACGTAATGATGTATCACAGTGGGCACCTGTGACGAGCGGAGTCCCCACAGGGGTCGGTCCTAGGACCAGTGCTATTTTTGGTATATGTGAACGACATGACGGAAGGGTTAGACTCAGAAGTGTCCCTGTTTGCAGATGATGTGAAGTTAATGAGGAGAATTAAATCTGATGAGGACCAGGCAGGACTTCAAAGAGACCTGGACAGACTGGACACCTGGTCCAGCAAATGGCTTCTCGAATTTAATCCTGCCAAATGCAAAGTCATGAAGATAGGGGAAGGGCACAGAAGACCACAGACAGAGTATAGGCTAGGTGGCCAAAGACTGCAAACCTCACTCAAGGAGAAAGATCTTGGGGTGAGTATAACACCGAGCATGTCTCCGGAAGCACACATCAATCAGATAACTGCTGCAGCATATGGGCGCCTGGCAAACCTGAGAACAGCATTCCGACACCTTAGTAAGGAATCATTCAAGACACTGTACACCGTGTATGTCAGGCCCATACTGGAGTATGCAGCACCTGTTTGGAACCCGCACTTGATAAAGCACGTCAAGAAACTAGAGAAAGTACAAAGGTTTGCAACAAGGTTAGTTCCAGAGCTAAGGGGAATGTCCTATGAAGAAAGATTAAGGGAAATCGGCCTGACGACACTGGAGGACAGGAGGGTCAGGGGAGACATGATAACGACATATAAAATACTGCGTGGAATAGACAAGGTGGACAAGGACAGGATGTTCCAGGGAGGGGACACAGAAACAAGAGGCCACAATTGGAAGTTGAAGACACAAATGAGTCAGAGAGATAGTAGGAAGTATTTCTTCAGTCATAGAGTTGTAAGGCAGTGGAATAGCCTAGAAAATGACGTAGTGGAGGCAGGAACCATACACAGTTTTAAGACAAGGTTTGATAAAGCTCATGGAGCGGGGAGAGATAGGGTCTAGTAGCAACCGGTGAAGAGGCGGGGCCAGGAGCTAGGACTCGACCCCTGCAACCACAAATAGGTGAGTACACACACACACACACACACACACACACACACACACACACACACACACACACACACACACACACACACACACACACACACACACACACACACACACACACACACAACACACACACACACACACACACACACAAAGTTACTCTTTACACTTTCCGAAGAAAATTATATTTCCAGCGTCCTGGTATGCTAAATATACTGGTTCGTAAATATTTAAGTAAATGAGAGATCAAATTTCCTTGCTCGCTCATACTATTATTATTATATTTATGGGAAAGAGCTAAACCTGCATGGGTCATACAGCGCCTGAGGAAAGAGAAACAATCAAAGTTTGATTCATGGTAAGTGTGATTCTTATGTTCAATTTATAGGTCCATGCACTCTCAGTGGACTATTTTTTATCTTAGATCTCTATGATTTTTTTAAAAAGCAAATGTTAGTCACTAATCGTTCACTATCTTGCAGATATCTTAGTCGAGAAGGGCATCTGGTGGGAACGTATATTACTGATAACCTGGATGATGGTGACGCTGGTGTTAACACGCAGTTACTCTGGTAACCTCATGTCTCTCTTGGCTGTGAGATACAGTTTTCAGCCTTATCAGTCTCTCCAGGATGCTGTGGATGATCCCTCAGTGGCTTTGATCTGGGAGGCAAACTCGGCTTACGTTCAGGCTTTTAGAGTAAGTTATTGTTCTGTAGTTATCTACTAATTAGATCGTTAGTACTCTTCAAAAATACCATGAAAAAAACTATGTATATAAAGAAATTATGTAGCTATTTCTCATAAGTTTATTACACTTAAATAATGACCCCTGTATAGTCCACCGCCTTTAAACAAAATTAAAATTGGTTAATTCATGTGATCTGGGAGAGGTACATCCAGATTCTGAACATCCCAGCCCCTGTTTACCTTACAATCCTTAAAAGGCGGAGAAGCCTCCGCTTAACTCCCTTAAAACACGCAACCCTCAAGAGGGTCAGGAGCTTGATCATAACCATATTACTTCATAATAATATTTAAGAAAAATACAGATCATTGTGAAGATATTCTTCAAAGAATCCGCAAGTGTCCCGGAGCTGTAGTTCAACAGTCTCAAGAGGCTCCAAGCTGAAACTCAGTCTAGTTAAACACTATGGAATTTTAGATAAATCAGTAGTAATGTGGAGATATTCTCAAGAGTTCTTAGGGGCTGGGCTTAAAGGAGTAGGGATGCCTTTCTCAGATCGTGGAGCAACTTAAAAACGTTTACTTTATAAATATATTTAAAGAAAGCGTCATCCGGCATCTATAAAGCAGTAGCAGACTTGGAGACGAAAGGGCGAAATGTGTATCTGAAGTACACCTTGATACCTGGGAGTGTAGACGCTCTGGTGAGGCGAGGCGATCATGTCCTCATCTTAGAGGAGCTCACTGAGGAAGTTTTAATCGCACAAGACTTCTCAAATACAGGTTTTTAATTTATTATTCATAAGTGTCTTACTTTTCACATTGGATAATTTATATACATAATTCCTTTCACAGTGAGAGGTAAGAATCTGTATGAAGATAGAAAAAATAGTTACAATCTTCCCTTTAAAGAATGTTTATTATACATTTTTCTAGGTAGACTTCATCTCTAATCTATTGATAAATTTTGGAATTAACCTTCAGAGGAACCAGACATGCAGGTGACCGACGACTAGCCAGACTTCAGGTGGTTAGATAACTTGTGCGTCACACAAAGTGATGATACTTTTATAGGTCAAAATCCTTCTCGGCATCTATATCTAGTGTCATTTTTCACTATTGTGTATACTGATGAGGACCTCAGTTCGAGGTTGACATATACAGACAGCTTCTTTTCTTGCTTTTTCTATAAGTGGGTTACTGCCTCTTACTGGCAAGTTCTCATTAGATATTTTGGCTGTAAAACACACACACACACACACACACACACACACACACACACACACACACACACAAATATTTTTGAAACAACTCTACGTTTGGAACGTTTTTATATAGGTTAAAAAAAAAACAGTGTATCGGTGGTTGATAATTTAGCGATGATCTTGAAGGTATAAATTAACTTAAGACTTCTGAATCAAACAGAGCGCTGCGATTTTTACTTATCTAAAGAGAGGGTGTTGCCTCTGATGTTTGCTATGGTGGGACTCAAGAACAGTCCTCTGGTGCCAGTGCTAAGCAACAGGTAATTATATTTACGCAGTTAAATAAGATTTCATTTGTATGTCTTATCAAATTTGATTTCTTGGTCATGGATAAATTTTTGTGTTGAAATATAAAGATTTCCATTAGATATTTACTTATAAATTTTCTTGGTCATTCTAAATATGTATTATGTAGTTGTCTGTAGAAAAAAAGTGATGCCTTTGTACTTTGGGGAATTTTGATGACTTATATCTTCACTGTTTTAATAGGAGAATAATGCTAAATCATTATCAGAATGTTAAGTTAGTAGTTTAAATGTAATTTATAGCCAATAAAAATTTTGTACAAAGAACGATAGTTAATATTAACAAAAATTTTTACTATTCATTTTCTTAAGAATATTTTATTTTGCACCACCAAACAAGACTTCTTGAAGACTTGTTCTATTGTGATTGGTTAATCCCTCGTATTATTTTGCACCACTAAACAAGACTTCTTGAAGACTTGTTCTCATTGGGCTGGTTATAATCCCTGTATATTTTTGCACACAAACAAGACTTCTTGAAGACTTGTTCTATTGTGGTTGGTTAATCCCTCGTATTATTTTGCACCACTAAACAAGACTTCTTGAAGACTTGTTCTATTGTGGTTGGTTAATCCCTCGTATTATTTTGCACCACTAAACAAGACTTCTTGAAGACTTGTTCTATTGTGGTTGGTTAATCCCTCGTATTATTCTTGCCACTATCCTGCTGCTGACCTCAGATATATCCAAGTTACCCTTTGCAAAATTTCTTCCAATCAAGGAATATGAAATAGGGAAATTTCGCCTGGCGCAAATCTGTCATGTGGTGACCTGCTCACATAGTATGGGTCGTCGAAAGATTTAAGACAGTGTCGGATCTCTTGTCCAGACGTAATTAACCTTCTCCTATATGAAAATCACTGTCATTACACAATAGTTTAAGATATTCTCCTTATCATCCGTAATGTTATTACTATTACTGCAGCTACCTTTTATTTCAGTTGGTTGGCTATGAACTGCAATATTAATGATTTGTATGGCAGGATCAAGTCAGTGACGGAGGCTGGTTTGTACAACTACTGGATGAAAACTACTGTACCTAATTCGACTTCATGTGCCCACACCTCTTCCAAGACTACTGTCAACACTTCACTCTCTCTTACTAATCTCTCGGTAATATAACATAATTTAAGTAGTAAAAAGAATTCTGGCGAAAAAATCTATATTTAATCAGTTTAGTCTTAGCTATAATAAGCTTAAACAAAAGAAAAATTCCTGAAACTAGTGGAGTGGGGCCTTTGTTTTTTTCCAAGGAGACAGAACAACCTTTCGCAGACTTCTCTGGATCAACTCTGATTCCCTCGTATTACACAGGCGGTATATGACCCTCATGAACTTAGCGCTAATTCACGAATATAAATATTTAGATATGTAAATTTTAAACCTATATTGTAACTACTGCTATTAGTGTCATTTATTCGATACGTACAAGCAAAACTTCAGCATAATGCATTTGACCTTCAACTGCCTGCGGGAAAGGTGCGCTACATTCAGATAAATACTAATGCTCATTTTAAAAAGGGTGGACTGGTAAGCCAGTGGAAGACCTCAGTCAGATGACCAGAAACTTTACTGGTGGGTCATCATATAACTAAGACCCACGTCAGGAAATATTTATCCTGTTTCCCTACGAATCATATCTCCTTGAACAGTTGGTTGGTTAATCAGGCTCAGACACCATCAACACACGTCACCTTTTTACCATCAACATAGAAAACTTTTTCCTTAAATTTGAGTGAATTGTTAATAAGTTACGTTGAGCAATATACCCCTCCATGAGTACAAGGTCTGTACCTCTTGATACACACACATCCATACAGACACGCTCGTCAGAAATACAGAGTCTAAACACTGTATCGTGATAGAGAATACAGAGTAGATGACCGCAAATAATACTTAATAAATCACTAATTTCCGAGAACAAATAAAAAGAAGGTTATAAGAATAAGGAGAATTTTACTATTGCAGCTTCTGTACTAATACTTATAATAATAATAATAATAATTTTACTATACGTAAAGAAAATTTAAATTACTGTATCTAGTTTTAAATTTGTGGTTTTTGTTTCCCTTGCAGGGAATGTTCGTGGTCCTGGCCGGTGGCTACGGTTTCGCTCTCCTCGTCTTTATTCTTGAGACAGTTCAGGAGCGGATCAAAATGTCACGGAGTTAAATTGTCACGCAATTATTATTTAGGTGCAGATGCAACAATTTCCTAAATATAAACTTAGTATAATAAGAGATATTGTATTGATTAACTTCACATCAGAAAGTTATTGGTCTCACATCAACATCAATGTGTCAATATTTTCAACAACAAGATTTTCTCCATCGTACTATTTAAATACATTAAAATTTACAGATATTAAAAGATTTTCAACAGAGAAAAACTTTAAAAAAACATTTAAGTTTATGGATTAACGAAGATAAATTGTTGTTGGTGTTGCAAGACCTCTTTATTATGATTATATATACATCAAGCTGGTTAACGGGGTTTTAGGCATATCTCTTACATGAGGGTCACTAAGCGTGTATATAACCAGTCAAGCATATTTAATCCCAAAAATACAGATTTAAGGATACTCTCAGCCTATATTTACTGCCAGTCGCACCTCATGGTGTGTGTATATCCAAAATTAACTTAAGATTCCATTCTTTTATTTTAAGGATAACATTACACATACACACACACACACACACACACACACACACACACACACACACACACACACACACACACACACACACACACACACATATATATATATATATATAATATATATTATATATATATATATATAATATATATAATATATGTATATATGTATATATATATATATATATATATATATATATATCAATGTATCTCTTAAACTTTTTGTACCAAATTATGTAATAAAATATACCTATTGCTAAAATAGAATGAAAAAGATGAGGTGGTAGGGGAAGTTGATTATTCAAACGGCTTCAGGAAGAAATCCAAATATTCTTCCTTGTAGCCTTTTTATCCATTTCTCCGAGGCTATGGATCCCACAATTTACACCAGATGTGGAACCATCCTATAAATATATATAATATATATATATATATATATATATATATATATATATATATATATATATATATATATATATATATATATATATATATATATATATATATATATATATCAATAACAACACTGCACTAGCCAAGGACTCGAACCCATGCTGCTTTGGCCTGCCTCATGGCGGGGGAAAACACATGACGCCCTTATCCACTAGAGGCCTGGTCACAGACCGGGCCGCGGGGGCGTTGACTCCCGGAACTCTCTCCAGGTAAAACTCCAGGTAAGACCATACGATCCTTAAGAATAGCGCATCCAGCAGAACTGAATGTTGTACTCGCTACCCAAGGACACACGATGGTGTGAATGACTCTAGGCTAATTTCATTCTAGTCCCTGTCTGGTGTACTAGTTCAACGAGCGGTATTTTATATTATTGTGACCACGAACGAGTGGTATTGATCAATAACAACATTGCACTAGCCAAGGACTCGAAACAATGCTGCTTTGGCCTGAAGGGAGAGAGGTCTCAGAATTGCGTAGGTGTCACCGGCCACGGTTGCCCTCCTACCCCATATGGGTAGTAGGAGGATGATGGTAGGATGGGGTTGGCACCGACCACTAACCCAGTCTATGGGTAACCGTGGACGGTGACACCTACGCTACTCTGAGACCTCTCTCCCTGCTTTGGTTGCTCCCTTGCAACATTGCACAGCTCCTGATGACGCACTGAGAAGTGTGAAAGTACTTAAGTTAAAGATTTCCCCCCTCCCCCTGTGGCTTGTCCTGCAAATATATATATATATATATATATATATATATATATATATATATATATATATATATATATATATATATATATATATATATATATATATATATATTAATATTATATAATATATATATAATATATATATATTATAATATATATATATATATATATATATATATATATATATATAATATGTCGTGCCGAATATGCAAAACTGGTCAATTAGCAAGAACTCATTTAAAATTAAGTCCTTTCTGAAATTTTCTCTTATACGTTTAAAGATATATTTTTTCCATTAATGCTGATGCAAAAATTTATAATTTTGCACCAAAAGAATCTTAGAAAACTTACCTAACCTTATTATATCAAGAGCAATTTATTTTAGCCTAACTCAACTAAATATATTTTAGATTTGTTTACAATAATTTAATGCTAAACAAACACAGTGAAATATATTTTTTTCGTTAGGTTCAGAATGATTTTGGCGAAATTATTGCATACACAAATTTTCGCTTGTCCTATATGGCAAGATGAGCGTTGCTATTTAAGCCAAGATCGCAAGTTCTGCCTATTCGGCACGACATATATATATATATATATATATATATATATATATATATATATAATATATATATATATATATATATATATATATATGTCGTGCCGAATATGTAAAACTGGTCAATTAGCAAGAACTCATTTAAAATTAAATCCTTTCCAAAATTTTCTCTTATACGTTTAAAGATATATTTTTTTCATTAATGTTAATGTAAAAATTTATAATTTTGCATTAAAAGAAACTTAGAAAACTTACCTAACCTTATTATAACAAAAACAATTTATTTTAGCCTAATCCAACTAAATATATTTTATTTTTGTTTACAATGTTTTAATACTAAACAAACACAGTTAAATATATTTTTTTCGTTAGGTTCAGAAAGATTTTGGCGAAATTATTGCATACACAAATTTTCACTTGTCCTATATGGCAAGATGAGCGTTGCTATTTAAGCCAAGATCGCAAGTTCTGCCTATTCGGCACGACATATATATATATATATATATATATATATATAATATATATATATAATATATATATATATATATGCATTCTTTATGCGTCGTCAGGGGCTATAAAATGTTGCAATACTAGCAACAGATGGTCTTGCAACATTGCCTCAGGACGCACAGAGTGCGAAAGATCTTCAGCTAAATATTTCTTTCCCCATGTGACGTCTTTTGCACTGCTTAGATTGCCTGTTTGCGATTGTATTTGCAATGCAGTAAGATCACATTAAAAAGGTGATATCACAATATGCAGAGCAAACACTGTGAGAAAATAGTTAAATTCCAAACGCTTTCGTGATTTCTCAAATTATCAAATTATCAAGCGCTTGGAATTTCACTATCCTTTCACAGTGGTTGTTTTGCATATTCTGATATCACCTGTTTACTGTGATCTTATTGCATATAATATATAATATATATATATATATATATATATATTATATATATATATATATATATATATATAATATATATATACACACATTTATACACACAACACTTTCCCCTGAATATCATAACAATATCTGTCAATATCCATCCATCAATTTACTCATCAACCCACCGGTTTCGACAAAACTGATCAATGGGTAAGATACTTGCGCAAACGCTCACACCAGCCCTATCAAACCTGGAGGTGAGGCTTCATGTGGCTCATTCCTCACGTTGTCATCGTGTTGTCCACACCTGTCTCTGGTACCAGCTGCTCCCACCATTCCTTACCTGAGCCAGTAAGCCATGTTTCAACTGTAACCTCATCTTAGATATTTAGACGAGTCTGATCTATTTTGAATTTGGTTCTCGATCATCTTTAGCTATTACTTGCTATATTAAATCCCAGTGAGTTGATGTCATTTTAAGTATATTTCAATATTTATATGAATTTTCACTCTAAAGTGTTCACTACTGCTGGAACAACTTAATAATCCTCTATAACTTTAGTGTTCAGTTGTATTTGGTTCTCGATAGACATTTCTGAATGTGTTACTGATGAAGATCATTGATATTGTTACCAGTGTTATAGATGGGATTTCCTGTGCATATTTTCACAGTAACGTAAAAATAAACGATAGAAAAATAATGTTAACGACAATTATCCGATATCGTTGTTATATCATATGACCCCAGTATCGTTACATCACATGACCTCATAAGCTGGCCCGAGAGGGAATTTGTATACAATACACAACCCTTTTGGGTTTAGCACATAATAATTTAATAATTTAATTTAATAATTTAATTTAATAAGTACTTCCACTAAGTGCTGACTTTATTACCAGAATCTAAATATTATTTTTCTTTACACTTTCACTGTAGTTTATTAACGCTTAGCTTTGATAATATTAGTAATTAATAATTTGCGCCTCTTCAAGGGGGGCTCCTTGGCGTGGTGAAGAGGCTCTTCGTCTGAGGAATTAGACTTATCGGTCTCCTTCCTCAGACCGAACCTAATTACTCCCCAATCCCCCCTTCCCTCTCCCATCCTCCCCTTTTTCCTTTCCTCCTCCCCACCCTTCCCTTTTGCCCTTCCTTTTTGGCCTTTGGGATTTTTTCCCACAGGCACGCTAGTTCCTAGGTAGGGGAAAGGGTACCGGGGTCCATCCCATTCCGTTGAGGTTCTTGGCGGTGGCGTAGTTTGCCGTGGAATCTGGATTGCCTGGGGATGTCCCGATCCCTCTCCGGTATCCCGGAGGATGGCTTTGGGTGTCTTTCGGGCGACCGGTGTATCTCTGGAAGCCACCTTTCGGATTCCGGGGGTGGTGGCCGAAGGAAGTATGCTTTGTGGCGGATATCCGGCCGCCCTTTTGTCCACCGAGGTAGCTCGGCAGATGTGAGGTTGCTATCCCGGATTGCTGGTTTACTGGCATGATGGGTAGGGTATGGCACGGGTTCCATGCTGCATCTGCGCTACTTGCGGTGCTGAGGTCCTCTTGGGCACGGAGGGAGATTTCTGGCCCTTTCATTCCTTCTAGGAACTATCCCTCCCCTGTCCCCCCTTTTTTTTTTTTTTATTTTTAAATTTTTTTTTCTTAAAAACAAAAAGAAAGAAGTAACCTAACCATGGAGTACCCGATCCATGACCCCGCTACCCCCGGGCCCCTTATTGTTACCGCACCCCGTTCTGACCTCGCCTTGTCTTTTGGCCACTCTTCGGACATTCCTAAGGCCCCTGTACCTCTTGCTGGTGCTGTTTCCTCACCCGCTTCAGGTACCGGGGCTTCCACTGACTCCTTCGATTTGTCTGACCTCCGCTCCCCTTTGACGATGCTTCCGGCTTCTCCCTCTACTGTGCGGCGATTTTCGAATCGCCGGCCCGTCCCACGTCGGACCGACTCAGGTCCCACTTCTAAACGTCAACGACAATCTCCTAATGATGTTAATTCGTTACCTTCCCTTTCTACTCGGAAAAGACCGACACGTCATGCACTCCTTCTCCACACTCAGTTTCAGAACACACAATGGACTAAATTCTTTACATTAAGACCGACTTCTTCTACTGCCTATCTTTCCGACCATAGTATTGGCAAAGCGCTCCTACGCCACGTTGGTAGAGATATTTCCTTTCATGCTCTTAAGAGTGGTACACGCATCATCACAGTCCAGAATTCTACCCAAGCTCATGATCTTTCTCTTTCACATAACGATACTATTCCTATCACTATCGAAAAGCATCATTCCCTCAATTCTTGTAGTGGTACTGTTATTCTGCCCCATACCATAGTCCAACAGAATTTCCAGGTATGTGGCACTGACATTCTCGAACAGCTGGAACTCCAAGATCTCTCTCCCTTGCAATGTGGCTCGTTTAACTTTTGACAGCCGTGAACTCCCATCCTCTGTTTATGTAGCAGGACATCGGTTACAAGTTCGGAAGGTGATCCCTACACCGCAACAGTGTAGGAATTGCTGGCGATTTGGCCACCCAGCAAAATATTGCAGATCTATAGCCGAATGCCCAGTCTTTGGTGCCGATGACCATTCTAATACGCCTTGCAGTCGAACTCCCTCTTGCCTTAATTGTCATGAGGCTCACCCTTCGTACTCTCGCCGTTGCCAAGTCTACTTAAATGAGCGGAAAATTCGTTGCCTCAAAGAGGCAGAAGGTGTCCCTTATGCTATGGCTGTTTCTCATCTCCGCCTCCAAGGGAGACTGCCCCGTGTTTCTTATTCTCGTGGTTTCAAAGCGTCCCCCCACGTCTGGGGTCACATCTTCTGCAGCCTCTGCGGTTGCCAGTCTCATAATCACTCCTGTATCTAATTCTTTTGCTGTCCTGGGCTCAGACGTCCCTACTTCAACTCCTCAGTCTGTCCTCACTTCTTCGTGTCCTCCCTCACAAACCCCGGTATCGACAAGACCTCGTACGACGACACCTCCCAATCGTCCCTCTACTTCTCAGAGGCCCAAAAAATCTCCTTTAACCCCTCCTTCCCTTCATCCACCTCCACATTTTACCTTCCCGGTCTCTGTACCTGAGTCTTCCCCTTTCACTGGCTCTGTTACAAGTGTGGAGGTTCATCCTTCTCCTCGTACTGTGCCTTCCTCCCCTGTCCCCTCCCAAGTTTCTTCCTCTTCTGCCACCTCCCAGGTTTCTGCCTCTTCTGTCCCCTCCCACACTTCTCCAGTTCCCTCCACCCTTTTCCCCCCCCTACCTTGGTACAGTCCATTACAGCTCCGATCTTTACTCAAACTCCTCCTTCCATCTCCAATGTTGTCTCCCATACGACGTCTCTGAACTCCGAAACACTTGAAGCAATCTCTGAATATATTGCAGAGACCAAACCATCAATGGACACTGATCCACCCTCTGTTCCTTCTTTCCTCTTCTCCATCTGCGCAACTCCTTTCTTCACAATGCACCGTTCCTTCGCTACTTGAACGTTTTCCTTTGCCACCGCATGTACACTTTTCTAACCCCTCTAGTCTCCATAGGTACCCTTACCTGCGGATTTCGGGTATCTTTATCGTTGCCAATCATGGCCTATTTACAGTGGAATATTCGCGGCCTCAGGGGTAATCGGGGTGAGCTTCAGATGTTGCTCTCCCAGTTTTGCCCTGTCGGTGTTTGCTTACAGGAACCAAAATTACACTCTGCCGTTATCTATCCTATCTCAGGCTATAATTTATTGTATTCTTCAGATCCTTTTCCTGATGAGACCTTTAATGAAAGTGCCCTTCTATGCACTGATATTCCGTACCATCAGCTATTTGTTCCTACTTCGCTGCATTACACAGCAGCCCGTATCCACTTGCATAGGTGGTATACACTGTTCTTTGTATCTCTCTCCTTCTTGGGCATTATCTATCCCAGATATTGCCTTTCTTGTTTCGTCATTACCGCCACCACTTACGTTACTTGGCGATTTTAATGCCCATCATTTCCTCTGGGTCTCAGTGATTCCCGTGGCATTCAGTTAGAGGCTTTTCTTGCTACCCACCCCCTCCATGTTTTAAATACAGGTACTCACACCCATTTTAATTCTCGGACTCGTACTCTCTTGCATCGATCTCAGTCTGCTCTTCCTCCGCCACATTAGACTTCATCTGGTCTGTTCTCCCGGATTTACATGACAGCGATCATTTCCCAATCATTCTTACTTCCCCTTCATATTCACCACCTCTTCGTAACCCACGCTGTCAATTTGATCAGGCAAATTTGAACCTTCACTCACAACTAACTGTTTTTAGTGAGGTTCCTTCTTCGTCCTTCATTGATGAGGTTTTACACCTCTTCTCGTCCTCAGTTTTAAACGCAGCTTCTCATTCTATACCCCAGACTTCGGGCAGGCATTCTCAGAAATGCGTGCCTTGGTGGTCTCCTCCTTGTGCTCGTGCAGTATGTTTGAAACGCGCTGCATGGGGCAGGTACCGGTACAATAGAACCACGGCTACTTCTTGATTTTAAAAAGAAGCGTGCGATCGCTCGCCGTGTCATCCGTGACGCTAAACGCTGGCGAGATTGTCTCCACCATCACCTCTGCTTCCTCTGAGTGCAGTCTGGAAAAAAGTACGGAAACCGAGTGGTAAATATTCTCCTGACCCGGCTCCTGTTCTGCGGGTTGCCGGTGTTGATATAGCAAACCCACTAGATGTTGCCAATGAAATTGGCAATCATCTGGTCCGTATTTCTCAGGGGCTCCATCTATGCCCCTCGTTTCTTTCCTCAAAGTCTGCCAGAGAGTTAGCACCCTTGGACTTTTCTTCTCTGAGAACAGTATAATGTGCCTTTTGCACTTCAGGAACTGGAGGCAACACTCTCAGCTTGCCGATCATCGGCAGCTGGGCCCGACGACATTCATATTCGTATGCTACAACATTTACATCAGTCGGCCCTTGCAGTCCTATTACGCCTTTTCACTCTTATTTGGTCACAGGGAGTTCTTCCACAGCTGTGGAAATCTGCCATTGTTCTTCCTTTCCGCAAACCGAGTACTACGGGACATGAAGCCTCCCACTATCATCCCATTGCTCTTACCAGTGCAGTTTGCAAAGTGATGGAACGTCTGGTAAATAGACGTTTAGTGTGGTATTTAGACACGCAAAACTCTCTCCACTCGTCAATATGGCTTTCGTAAGGGCCGTTCTACCATAGACCCCTTATATGCTTGGATACGTATGTTCGTAATGCCTTTGCGAATAACCACTGTTATTGCCATATTTTTTGACCTTGAGAAGGCATATGACACAACTTGGAGGTATAATATTTTGGCCCAAGCCCATTCCTAAGGCCTTCGAGGCAATCTACCATCCTTCCTTTAGAACTTTTTAACTGACAGGCATTTCCGTGTTCGGGTTAATAATGTGCTCTCCCCGGACTTTATCAAAGCTGAAGGTGTCCCCCAGGGATGTGTTCTGAACACAACACTTTCTCCTTGCTGTAAATGATTTGGCCTCTAGTCTTCCATCCAATATTTGGTCATCACTCTGTTGATGACTTCGCTATTGCATGTGCAGGCGCTGACTGTCACCTCATTCCAGTTTTCTCCAACATGCGGTCGACCGTGTTTCCGATTGGGCCACCACACATGGGTTTAAATTTTCCAGTACCAAAACTCTCCAAATTACTTTCACTAGACGCTCTGTCATCTCCGATCATCCTTTGTATCTCGATGGCTCCCGTATCCCTGAACGTGATAGTCAGGTTTCTAGGCCTCTTCTTTGACCGTAGGTTATCCTGGAAACCTCACATTACCTCTCCGAAGGCAACTTGGCACAGCCGGCTGAACCTTGCTCATTTTTCATGGGGAACTGATCGTCGAACTCTCCTTCGCCTACATTCCACCCTCATTTTATCGAAACTTGATTATGGTGACCAGATCTATTCAGCGGCCTCTCCTGCTACTCTCTCTAGCCTTAACCCCATTCATCACCAAGGATTACGTTTATGCCTTGGTGCTTTTCGCTCTTCCCCTGTTGAGAGCCTCTATGCAGAAGCGAAGGTTCCATTTATAGAATGGTCACCGATATTAGTAGACATTCTTTATTTGTTCGCCGCCCCTGTTTGCTCCGTCCCTTCTCCCTTTGCCTACATTCGCTCTTGTCTTCTCTTCAATTACCACCTATGTTCATGTAGCATCTCACTTTTCCCTACCCCCTTGGGAAGTTCCAGCTGTTCGAGTCTGTTCTTTCTCACTCCCTTGCTCGAAAGCCCAACTTATCTACGGTAGCTTCCCGCTCTTTTTTTCTTGACCACTTCCACTCTCATTCTCGTGCCATTGCGATATACACAGATGGCTCTAAGTCTTCTGACGGCGTAGGATTCGCAGCAGTGTTTCCGAACAGCGTCGTACGAGGGCATTTACTGTCTTCGGCTAGTATCTTTACTGCTGAATTTTATGCCATTCTTGCAGCACTTATCCGTATTGCATCTATGCCTATGTCATCATTTGTGGTTGTCTCAGACTCCCTTAGTGCTTTACAGGCTATACAGAAATTTGATACACCTCACCCCTTAGTCCTCCGTATCCAACTTTGGCTACACCGCATCTCTTCCAAGCATAAAGATAGTCTTTTTTGGGTCCCTGGTCATGTTGACGTACAGGGCAATGAACAGGCAGACACTGCTGCGCGGTCAGGAGTACATGACCTACCAGTTTCATATAGAGGTGTTCCATTTACGGACTATTTTGCTGCAATAGCTACCCACCTTCACACCCGTTGGCAACGTTGGTCTACTCTGCTCGGTAACAAACTTCAATCTATTAAACCGAGTATAGGTTACTGGCCGTCTTCTTGTCACCAGTGTCGAGGTTGGGAGACTACTCTCTCGTCTTCGCATTGGCCATACTCGTCTTACTCATGGTTATCTCATGGAGAGGCGCCCTGCTCCTCTCTGTGAGAATTGTCAGTTTCCATTATCGGTCAGCCACATTGTTGGACTGCCCACTTTATCAACGAGCACGCAGAATATACCTCCAACGTCGTCTTCGCTCAGCTGCTCTCTCTTTACCTTCCCTTCTCGCTGATGGACCCACCTTTCATCCGGACTCTCTCGTTGATTTTTTGACAACTGACTGACTTCACAAACTCTGATACCTTCAGCCCTTTCTACCTCAATCTCTTGCTGCCCTCTACCCCCGAACTATCCCCTGCCCCCGCTGTTTTCTGTGATCTACTGATCATCCCTCCCCTCTTCTACCACCCAATACCCTTGCTTCCTTCCCTACCCTGCAGCGTTGTATAGCCCTTGTGGCTTAGCGCTTCTTTGTTATTATAATAATAATAATAATAATAATAATTTGCGCTTCCAGTAGATTTCCTGTTTTTCTAAATTAATCCACAATTTTTATTTCACTAACTCGGATCTAAGATCAAAAGCGATCAAACATGCCTATTGTATTTGCAGGTTTCTGCCACACAAAAAAGCAGTTACAGTAATTATCCATATTATACCTGCTTTACTAACTGGAGGGGGCTTGACAACACTAACTTTCTAAGTTTCATTTTTGTTTTGTCCCAGAATTTTGATAATTATGAAAATCTAACCAGTTTTGCAGTTAATTTATTATAGGAAGGTAATTTTAATTTTCCAGAGTATTATGATTCAGGCAATGAATTACCATTTGTTGTCTTGAGATATAAAACATATCCGGAGAACTAACAAATTAATTAAAAGAGCATCTTGAGGACTATAACAATTTCTATGTAAATACTTTGATAGAAGTGTGTATATACTTAAAGGTGCACAACTCATGACATTAACACTCGGTTTAAAGTACAGATGGGATTAGTAAGGATCAAATTATTCTTGACAAGGGGTGTACAGGTGACCCGTAACCGCAATGACCCTCTAGTTGTAAAGATAAATTTTTAATCGTGATATCTTTGTTCTATCTCACTAGTGTCTTTTAAATGTTTAGCAGGTATTCGCGTTATTAATTACGGCATCGAGCAATCCACATAATTACATCTGAGGTGGGACAAGGGAAGTGAATATCGTTGTTTGATCTCCACACAGAACTATGGAGCGACGGCCTAAGTTCCGACCCACAACATTGTCAGAGCGAGCATGGATTGTGTGGATGTGGCACTATGGCTTGTCTGCCACACACATCGCCCAGGAGAGTGGCACTAGTATCAACACCGTCTGCAGGTGGATACGACGCTGGAAATATGAGGGTAATATCAATACCCGACCTCGAAGTGGAAGACCTCCCCGCCTTGCGAATAGAAGTGGAAAATACATCATATCAAACGAATCATTGAAGTTTTACCCTTCAGACCATGTTGTCTACTTGCTGCATCACCGACCAACTGCAGAACTGCGATGTTTTCAGAAGAGAAGCAAACATTGTTGGCCAGCATTACATGACAATGAATTTAATTACTATGACGCTTATCCCGTTTACAGATACATGTAAATCCCCAGGAAAAAAATCATCTTTGAAGAGTGTGAAAAGTTTTTTTGGAGAGAGCCTATGTACCATAAACAATGACTATTTTTGTTATGAAAGTTTACGGGAAACGTGCAAATATGTAACTGAAGTGTGCAATACTCTTGTAGAAAAATAAACTACATAGCATTTATTTAATATTTAATATTTGTGTCCGTGGTGTCTGCTTGTACTCGAGTTAAGTGCGGGTACGCACGCGCTTGAGAGCTTTGTAGTAAAATGCGTGCGCATCTGTATAATTAAAGTTCTAACACTTGTAAGCGAATCAGTGGCAAATTTCTCACAACGCAACAATCTGAGTTTTGACTCGACGGCTGCTATAATACATTAATAATTTTATGATTTGTTTTGCTTACAATACTCTGTATGAAAGACAAATTCTGTTTACCAAATCATACTTTTGTCATCACGGAAGCTTTAAAAATATGGAGTGTGAATGTCGATAACACTAGTGGGATAGTTTGTACTATGGATTATAGGGGCGAGGGAGAGTTAAGTGTTGATAGTAATAGGTTAGTGTTAATTAGTTTGGTTTATTGAATTTAAAGCCACGAGGGTCACTAAGGCGTCAAGTAACCTTCGCACTACTAGTCAAAGTTTCTTTAATCCTTAAAATTAATATCACCCTTTGGAGCACACAACCTTGGCTAGCATGAAAACACTCTAATTTTTACATAAATTAGACAGTTTAGGAAAATGAGTAGCTAAGTATCACAGGACAAATAATTCACTTTTAAGGAAACTAATCTTAGACAAACTTGTATTCCTCGGAAATTTTGTATTTTCTGAAAGTTTTCTTTTAAAGAAACAAGAATTTTGTTCCAGTATATTGGCTGCAGTTATATTTCTGGAGAGAACTAAATTGTTTGCTACAAGAAGCTGGAAAAACTCCCAAACCACACAAGTCATACAGCGTCTGGGAAATGTTAAGGGCATCAACTTATCGTACATTTCATGATTATCTCTTATAACTTCTCGTAATTAAACAAATAATTATTGTGGATGAGTTTGTATAACCTCTTGTTAAACTTAAAACGTAAGAATCTTATCTATTTAATAATTTTTACTTTTGAATGGCGAGGATTGTGAAGACTCCAGTGGCGGGTCATTATTCATTTTGAGCTACGTCAGAAATTACTAATCTTAGCCACCGTACCACTGATATTTGAGCTGAGGACGGTTGTGGTAAAGTTATGGTCGATGCTAAAATTATCAGTGCAGGACAGGGAAAAGTTTAACAACTATTGAAGAGGACAAGGTTGTTGATAAATTTAACCACCTCGTAAATTCCTCCCCCTAAAGTCATACTCTCATGCAATACAAAAAATAATAACTCTGGGAAAGATGGATGAAGCTCTTCCGTGTTCAGAAAATGACAGATGGAAAGTTAAACTATAAGTTATTCAATCAGTGCAAAGAATAAAGTAGTGATATATTTGGCAATGTTGGCATGGGTTTAGGGCTGTTAGTTTTCATTTATAATTTAAAAAACTGCTATTGATTTCCATGCAGTAGAATACTTCTTACGATGAATTTCAACAAGTTGAGCAACTTGAGTGGATTGTTTTGTAAATATGTTACTGTTAGACAACCAGACAGTATTTGAAATTAGTCATAACTATTTCTTTAACACAGTACAGGTTGTGGTTGGCAGAGATGGTGGATATCAGGTCGTTCATAGTGTTCCTGTCCACCGCTGTGCTCATGGCTTCAACAAACTTGCCTCGTTATCGTAAGCAGACTAACACTTGCACAATGGTTTGTCTAAACCGCTGTATCATGACCTTGCAGGAGAGACTTAGAACTAACAGTTTTAGAACAAAGATTCTAACATTGGAGGTGTTAGTGGCCTACTTTGTCCCTGCTAACACTGCTAACCTCATTCACTCGACAATCTGCTTAGTCTTTTGCACACATGTGTATCTTCATTGTTATTCCTGATTTCTTAAGTTTTTGCCAGTTTTATATAATATATATATATATATATATATATAAAATATATATATATATATATATAATATATATATATATATATATATATATATATATATATATATGTGTGTGTTTGGACTGAAAAAAAAATCTAATTTCTCAGCTTTCTAAATGCTTTCTAACAAAAAATTCTTCACTAGAGTTAGTTAACATAACTTCAATTTATGTTCTGTTTTTATACTAGTTTCACGAGCTAATAAAAAATTCTTAATAATCAATGTAATAATTGCTCAATATTTACCTTTTGCAGTTTTCCGGTAAGTTTTGTTGAAAATATAATGTAATTAGTTTTTATACATTTATATTCAAAACGATAAATTTATCCTAAATTTTTACTTTGAAACAGGAACACTTCATTCCAAAGCAGGTAAAAGAGATACCTTAACAGGAAGCGAGGCAGTGAATGCTGTGCTGACAACAGATACTGCTGCACTCTGCTCACTCATTCTCTTTGTTGACGGCAAAACCTCGTCTCGTGCTGTTTTTAAGGTGAGCTCTTGATATATAATGAATTTTTTTTTAATTTCAGTTTTAGCATATTTAATTTCACATACAAAACCATTAAGCAGAACATTATGGTTTTATTTTGCATTTGGTTTTACCGCTATTTTTTAGATGTTTGGTAACTTGAAGACCTCGGAGGATATAGTTGTGTTCGAGGTGGCAGGGACTGGCCAAGACTTCAATGTAACACGAGTGAAACTCTGCGAGGTGGTCGACCAGGCTCGGTGGGTATGTCACTTTTCCATTACTTCTGAGATGAGTACTTCTCTTTCTCGTCAGTCTTGAGAAAGAGTATCTCGCTCATATTACTATTAAGGAGAGTAAGTTGCTCACTTTACTGCAAATATAGGGTATGTCATGCTCACATTACCGCTTAGGTAAGATTCACTCGCATTAGCACTGAGGTGGGTAACTCTCAGTTCTACTAAGGTGGGTAGGTCAAATAACCTCTGTCATGTTAACATCCACAGCTACGGCAGATGTCGTGGTGTATGAAGATTTTGGTAGTGAGTGATGACATAGATTTCCTCTCTGCCTTCGCTGAGTGCTCCCTCGAAGGTCGTCTTCTGGTGTGGTCGAATAGGCTCCTCGCTGTCACCCGCCTCTCCCTCCAGCAGCTACAGCAACTACACGAGATTTTCTCGCAGACAAATTCCATACTGCTTCTCGTGAACGACATCGCCGGATATTTACAGTAACTGTTTTCCAGAAAACATTTAGTTTACATTTTTGACTGATGCATTTTTTCCAGTTTCTTCATACCATATTGAAAACCAAAAATATCAAAATACTCTTTAAATATAGTGCCAATTTATCCAGGATAAGCTGACAATGTTTGACAAGTTACTAGATCCGTATATAAGGATTACATAAAGCATAGCTATATAGTTATATTGTATATTTTCCTTGCTACAGGTGCAATATGTATATACACCTTCCATATACACCCAGAGATACCAAGGCATTACAGATTGCCTACTGGACGCCCAAACGAGGCCTCGTACTTACAACCCACCTTCCTCTCTTCCCTGACAAGTTCTTCAAGTGAGTGTCGAAAGATGTTGTATGTTTCTCTTAATAAGATCAACATTTGAAAGGTTGAAAGATTGTCTTCATACCTCATTTTAACAAAAGTAATTTTGCGGTAAAATGTCTTGCAAACTTGATACTCAATACCTAAATTTTCGTTTTTTTTTTTATTCCCACAATCGCCGCGTAGAGGCACAAACTGAAAAAAATATTTTTATGTAGATGAATGGTTCAGAGAACCGACATGTTGATAAATTACACATGTGCAACTCTTGGGTATCTTTATTGAGGAAACGTTTCGCCACAGTGGCTTCATCAGTCCATACAAAGGAGAATCTTGAACAGGAGGAGAATGAGGAAATCAGTCCCTCAACCTTGAGTCGATGTGGTCAGTCCATCAATCTTAAATAGATTGATGGACTGACCACATCGACTCAAGGTTGAGGGACTGATTACATCATTCTCCTCCTGTTCAAGATTCTCCTTTGTATGGACTGATGAAGCCACTGTGTGGCGAAACGTTTCCTCAATAAAGATACCCAAGAGTTGCACATGTCTAATTTATCAAATATTTTTATAAAGCAAATTTTGTTTGGCTTATTTACACATCTCAAAATGACAGTGCCCAAGACCAATATGTAAAACATTATTGAATTCAGAAACTTTTATTGGTTGAACTAATATCTTCTGTAGTGGAGTGATTTGGTTGCGCTAGCACCTCTGGTAGCGATAGTTTCAACAGTGTCCCGCAGTATTTCCTCCTTTTACGTTGCAGGTTCCTTCAGAAGACATCACTAGTGGTGGCGGCAGAGCAGTATGAGCCTCATGTTAATTTACTCGGCCACGAGACACTTCAGGGTACAGAAGTAACATTCTCAGGACCTCTGATTAACCTCCTCGAAATATTTTCCCACAGCATAAATTTCTCGTTAGCAAAGTTTTTAAATTTATATTGTGTATCATATACCTTATTTGTGTGTAATATCTATTTCTATTAAAGGTAAATGCTTCCTATAAGATATTAACTTGTTTTATCAAATGTGACCCAGAAAATGAAGCATTAAGATGTTGGCTTAAATATACAAAGGGAATTTGTGATATAAAAAAATTTAATGTTTCTATTTAGGTACAAGATAATGCGTCCTCCTGACGGAGGTTGGGGAGCTAAGATGCAAGACGGGACTTGGAATGGCATGGTGGGAATGGTTGCCAGGAAGGTATGTAATTGTTCGAATAAGGCTGATTTTTTCTGATCCAGCGTAGTACGTAGAGATGCTTAGAGATGGGCATCAAGATCACCAAGTTGTAATTTGTAACTCTTCTTAGGGAAAGTTGATATTGATAAAATATATCTGAAAGACACCATTAGTTAACTTTATTCCTTTATTGCTTAGCAATATCATACTTTATTAAAGTTCCGCCTGTCTATAATTTCTTAGAGCAGCACCTGATTAGATTACGTAAATCGGGGCCTGATTACAAATAATCCTGCCTTCTAGACCTCTCAATTATATATAATTACATTTCCTTTACGGGGAAGCACAGATCCGAAGGAGTAATAAAGCGGCTTGGGAACAGTAGGTAAACAACTTTAGTCTAAGGAAGACGAGCTAAAACTCCAGCTCCTTGCACCAAGAGCCCCTCAAAGCGCCCACTGAAGGGCCTTCTTAACTACTGAAGACAATTTAAAAAATTATTTATGCTGCTTTGTTACAAAAAGATGGCAAATTATTTTTCGAAGAAATTAAAGTTGCATCCAAAGCTAAAGTAAATAATTGCTTTACTTTTGTTAAAAACTAGTTTTATTTCTTAACGGAGATAAATTGTGTAAAATACCGACACGATGGAAAAAAAAAATGTACCCTTTATGGACTACGTTTCGGCCACAGTGGGTTTTATTACGTAAAAACAGATCCGATCTGTTTGACTTGATTAAGACCCAAACGTAGTCAATAATGGATCGCATTATACTGCATTTGTCAATTTTTCCCATTGTCTTAAATGAAACCCACCTTCACAGGAGGTTGATTTTGGTCTTGGCCCGTTTGGTGTTACCGCTGTTCGTTACGAAGTGGTGGACTACACAAGGCCAGTAGTGATTGATTACGGCAGGATCATGGCCAGGCGGGGACGGTCTGAGGTGGATCCCTGGGGCTTTGTGTTGCCCCTGGCACCCCTAGTGTGGGCTGCCACCCTGACGGCGTTGCTGCTGCTACTCAGCATACTGTTCCTTCTCTCAAAATGTTGCTCTTACCTGCATATCAGACAGGATAATAAGACCTACGGTGTTTTAGACTACTTACGAGTGTTACTGCAGCAAGGTATACCTCTCTAGGTCAATGTAATCATTAAAACCAAGACACATATAGTGCAAAAATATAATAATTTTAATATAATTGGAAATTGTGATACTTTTTTTTTCTCACAAGGCCATTTTCTTTCCTGAAAAGTCTTTATCTGTATGTCCGGGTTATGTGTATTGTCTGTATAGCTATCGCAAATATTCTTGTCTTGATATCCAAGCGGTTGGAGAGATTATAGGATCAATGTTTCTATGTTGACATCCACGCCGCATATTCAAGATTAGGTCACACAAACAATCGGTTCTTTGAAGCGAGGAAGAATAAATAGTGTACTCGGTTCACTGTTCTATGTACAGAAGTAGAGATTTTTGTGACTACAGAGGTAAACTCCGGGGTAAACACTTTTAGAATATAAAGATATTCTCCCCCGTCATGTTAAGACAGCTAAACTGTTTTAAAATATTTAAGTAAACCGGAGAAGATAAATTTTCTAGTTAGCTCGTATTATATTAAATGGAACGAACTAAATTACTAGGGGTCGTACAGCGCCCTTTGGAAAGAGAAGCAATCAAGAGGGATCCTTGGAAATATTAATTCTTAAGTATAATTTACAGGCCCATGCACTGTGGACAATTTGCTCTTTCTTAGATCTTATCCACGATTTTTTTAAACAAATTAGTCACTAATCGTTCACTATCTTGCAGATATCTTAGTTGAGAAGGGCAGCTGGTGGCAACGTATGTTACTGATAACTTGGATGATGGTGACGCTGGTGTTAACACGGTGCTACTCTGGTAACCTTATGTCTCTCTTGTCTGTGAGATACAGCCTTCAGCCCTATCAGTCTCTCCAGGATGCTGTGAATGATCCCTCAGTGGCTTTGATCTGGGAGACAAGCACAGCATATATTCAGGCGTTGAAAGCAAGTTATTGCTTTGCTGTTATCCACTAATTAGCTCTAGTTTTCTTAAATACAATGGAAAAAAACTGAAGACATAAATGAATTATCTAGCTACATCTCGTAAGATTAGAACACGAAATACTGATCCGTGAGAGGTATACCCAATCTCTGAAGATCCCAGCCCTAATTTACCTTTAAAACTTATAACAATCATGAATGGTCAGGATTATGAAGATGTTCAAGTAATCTCCAAGTGGCCCAGGAGCTGTAGCTCCGAGCAGGAATTCAATCTAGTTTAAAACATTAAAATCTTAGACGAATGAGTGGTAATGTGAAGATATCCTCAGGAGTGCTTAGGGGCTGGGCATAAAGGAGTAGGGATACCTTTCCCGGATCGCGCATGCAACTTAAAAACGCTTGGTTTATAAATACATTTAAAGAGTGCGACATCCGGCATCTATAAAGCAGTGGCGGACTTGGACAAGAAAGGGCGAAATGTGTATATGAAATATTCCTTGATCCCTGAGAGTATTGACACACTGGTGAGGCGAGGCGATCATGTCCTCATCATGGAGGAGCTCACTGAGGAAGTTTTAATCGCACAAGACTTCTCAAATACAGGTTCTTTTTAACTTGCTGTTCATACAGTAGTGTGCAAATTAATTGGGACAGGAGTAAATTTTTTAATTATCTAGTAATATTGTCTGTCTCCGGCTTAATATTGTTTGTTCAAAGAGTAAGCTAAGCATTCTAAATTGACCTGGAAACTCCTGACTTCAACCCAACTGAGAATATAAGGGTAATAACCGAGAGCAGGATCGCAAATAGGACTATTCAACTATGGAAAACTAACTGCTGCTATTAGAACCTGGTACCACGAACAAGAACTTGCCAAACTCTGAAATTAGCATATAGCAATGCTTATAAAAGCAAAGGGGAGTCATATTTTTTATATTAAATCAATTGTCATTGCCGTATACTTTTCAAATAAGCATTAATTTTCCAAATGTAATTCATCACTGTCCCAATTAACATGCAAACTACTGTAAGTGTGTTGCTTTTCACATTAGATGATAATTTTATAAAATACTTTTAAGACGAAAAAGACAGAAAAATTACGTAGTTACAAATTTCTAGTTGAGAAATGTGCATTTTTCTTAACATGGATGCTGTCGCTAATTTTCTGTTCTATTTTGGAAGTAACCCATAACCAGTTAGCCAGAGTTCAGGTTAGGTAACTTATTACAAACCAGTGATGACAATCGTAGGTCATAAGTCTTCTCGGCATCCATATAAATAGGGTCTTCTCTGACTATTGTAGTATATACTGATGAGGACCTCAGTTGGACATACACAGACCAATTCTTTTCTTAATTTTCCTATTAATGGGTTACTACCTCTCATTGCCTACTACTCGTTACATATTTTTTCTGTAAAAAACACACGGGGCCAAGAGCTGTGATTCGACCCCTGCAACCACAAATAGATAAGTACACACACACACACACACACACACACACACACACACACACACACACACACACAGTCAAATTCACACCCATGCAGAGTCACACACCAACTCACACACAGATAATAAAAATAGTGTAATTGATTAAATATTCTGAAGACCTGTACATTAAAAATAATTTGTTTACTTCTCTAAGTTTGAAAGCTTTTTTATAATTTAGAAAAATAACAATGCATCGGTGGTTGATGATATAGCGATGAATATTCTGAAGGCATATATTAATTTAAGATTTCTGGATTAACAGGACGCTGCGATTTTTACTTGTCTAAAGAGAGGGACTTTCCTCTGATGTTTGCCTTGGTAGGACTCAAGAACAGTCCTCTGGTGCCGGTGTTAAGCAACAGGTAATTATATTTTCTCAGTTCAGTTGCATAAGATTTCATTGGTGTTTCATAGTTTGATTTTTTGGTCATGGATAAATCTTATTGTAGATCAATGGTTCGGAGAACCGACACGTTGATAAATTAGACACGTGTGCAACTCTTGGGTATCTTTATTGAGGAAACGTTTCGCCACGAAACGTTTCCTCAATAAAGATACCCAAGAGCTGCACGTGTCTAATTTATCGATAAATCTTATTGTTGAAATATATTTTTTTCATTAGATATTTACATATAAATATTTGCATTCACTTTAAATATGTATTTAGTTGTAAGTGGGAAAATACCAGCCTTCGTACTTAGTACAGTTCTGGTTACAGTAGGTACATAATTCTAAATCAATATCAAATTGCTAACAGTTAGCTGTTTAAATGTAATTTATAGATAATTTTGTATAAAGAACTATTACTAAAAAGATTTCTCTATTTCTTTAAAAGTATTTTACTTATCCTCTAACGGGCTTCTTTCTATTTCTGCTTGATGGTTGCTTCCTGTTTTATTTTCACCAAACCTACCCTATCTTGTTTGTTCCCCTTTGAAAATTTAAAATTCTTTAGACTGTTAGCAAAATTTTAAAATTGTTCGCATCCTTTTGGGCCTGCGGACGCACTGCGAGTAGCCCCCACTACACCTGGTTTCGCGCATTTTCACGGTTCGACATGGGGGGATACCCCGGGCAGGAAAATTAATACAGTCTGCATTGACTGTTGAAGGTTTTAGCCTGATACGACGAACGCCCCTTTTCCTGCGATTATTGGGATTTTAGGGAAATCCCAATGAGGAGCTGTAGATGTGGCTTTTAAGGGGATGAAAACGATTTTTGGAAGTTCCGGGGATACTATCACATGTGGTGGGGGTACCAGGAACGCCGAATTGCCTCAACTCGACGATGGATGTATGCATGCATGACTGTCTACTTACTACACTGGGTCGAGAGGAATTCCCCTTTGAGGCAATTTTTAGTTAGGGGAAATTTTTTAGAAAATAGGGAGTCTTCATAAGAGAGGAGGGTTGGGGGGATGGACCAATAGGCCCCCCAAGGGTCATACAACATCAAAACCTTAAGACGTTACCTTGTATTCTGTTGACGGGCCACCAAAATCGGGGTATGTGTCTTTGGGGCGGGGAAACGTGTCGTCTTTGCGGCCTTAGACCTAAAGGGGCGCAAAGGCACTAAGTTGCCCCGGGGTGTCACCCCCGGTAAGGAGGTCCACAAGCAGTTGGTGGAGCGGCAAAACTGGGACCCTTAGGAGTGAGGGGGGAAAAGGGAGGGTGAACAGATGGGGACGTGTGTCACCTCCCGTGGGGGGATGGAGACCTCCCCAAAACCCCGTGGTGGTGGGGGGAATGGTGGATCGACACGGAGGTGTCCTTGGGTCAGGCTCCGGGAATTTTTGGGAGGGGGGCTTTGGTAGGGGGGACATGGATGGACGGACCAGTAAAACACAATTGCAAGGGCGAGTGAGAAGAGGGAAGTACGGGGAATACTAAAGGATACCTTTAGTGGCAGAGGTCACGGGGGGATGTCCCTGAGGAAGAGATGGCTGTGGAGGCAGCTTAGAAGGGGCCCACGGGGTTGACTGAATTAGATGATTTTTAACACCGGGGCAAAAAACCAGCAAAAGGCAGGGGAGGGGGTTCGAAAAACCCCTAAAGGGGGGGGAATACAAAAAAGGGGGGGGGAAGACAAGGGGGGGTGGGGGGGTTTTTATTAAAAAGATAATAAGAAAGTGTGAGCAGTTTTAGGAAGTGTGGCAAGCCACAGGGGCACGGGGTAAGCGCCTTTTCCCTTTTGCCATTCAGGTGTGTAACTTTTAAATGTAATGCCTAAAAGAAAAAAAGGGGGTATTTTTGGGTGGTTCCTCAAAAGGTTTGACTGATTTTGTTTCCTACGGGAGCAAAAACCAAAAGTCAGGTAGTGATTGCGTTTTAAAAGGATAAAAGTTTTTTGTAACAGGGGCAATGCTTTTAAAAAGGGAGGAGGGGCTGTTTTAGAAAAGGGGAACCATCCATTGCTTCATGGGTAGGAGAGGGGGGAGGGGGAGGGTTGTTGGGGTGGATGGTGGGGGGGGGAGAGCGGTATGTTTTTGGGGTTTATAGCCCGGATTGGTAACGTGAGGAAAAAAACAGACTTGTTCGGGTTTATTGTTATACTATTCAGGGTTTCCCCTCATTGCGATAATTGGGTGTTGAATTGTGTGATTACATCAGAGTCAAAACCAGGGGGGGGGGGTGCTGTTGGGTGTTTTAGGGGATGCTTTGCGTGAGGGGGGGTCAATGGGGTCGGCGGGGGGGTATCGGGTTTGGGCACACCTATTCAGGGGATTAAAAAGGTTGGATGGGTTTTAATGTGGGGCGGGGGATAAGTGGAAAAGGGGTTTAGAACAGTAACGGGGGTTTATTGACCACAAGCATGTTCTGCCTTTTCGGGGGAGGGTTTTCCGAGAATTACAGAGTTTTTGGGGAAATTTAAAATGTGAGTTTTTTAAACAGGGGGAAGATCAAGGTTGTCCTTTCAAAAAGGGGAAAAGGGGTTTTTTGGAGGCTGGGGATGAGGGGGGGATTTGCTAGTTTGGGTGGGATTTGCAGGAAAAGGGTGCAATTGCGGGTTTTTTTAAAAAGGGGGCGGGGAAGGCACGCTGGGGGGGGGATTGCAATTTTTTAAGGGCCATTTGAATGATTGTTAGGGGGGGGTTGGGAGGGTGGGGGGAGGATTAGGGGAACTTAGAATCGTTTAGGGGGAGAGCATAATAACTTTGATGCACTCAGGGTCGGGGCGGGAGGGGGAATGACAAAAAGGGTATACCAAGGGGTTTACTCCAAAATTAAAGGGACAGACAGTTGGGGAATACGGGGCACAAATTGTCGTGGGGGGAGGGGGGGGGTTAGTGCAGGGACAGGGTCTCTCGACAAGATTCTATCGTGGGTATGCGATATTGGTTTACGGAGAAATGGAAAAAAGGGAGGGGGGGTTGGGGTTAGAAATTTTTGAGATAGGGGTTCGCGGGTAGGGGCAGGGGGATCGGGATGGGGATTTGTTAGGGGCATTGGGGGGCAGGGGTGGGGGGGTGGTGAAGGGTTGATCGGAAGGCCCCCCGGAATAAAGGGGTTATCTAAGATTTTTACGAACATTGGGGGGATCTCAGGGGCCCTAGTGGGGTTTCGAATTATAGATGAAACGGGTAGAATGGCGCAAACAAGAGAACGGGGGTTTTTTTTTTGGTCCCAAAAGAAGGGGGGGGGGGGAAAAGGGGGTTTGGGAATTACGTCCTTTGTCGTTAATGTGCGATTAAAAATTTTTTTTGCGAAGGTATTGGTAACAGATAAAAAAGGTAATTGGGATAGCGTACATGGGGGGCCGTATGGGTCCCGGGGAGGACTATAAGAACACAGTGAAAGGATTTTAGAGAACTCCGGGGAGGGGCGTCCTGGATTGGATTGGGCTCAGGCCTATGACTTTTTGGAAGGGGGACTTTTTGTGGGGTTTTTTAAAAATTGGGGTTTTGGGGGGGGGGTATGAGGGGGGTGGCACTCTAAATGGGGGGGCTGTCATGGGGGTGAGTTAAAGGGAAAGGGGGGGGGGCGGTGTGAGGGGAACAGGGATTAAGGCAGGTTGCCCGCTGTCGCGTTGCTCTTTGCATGTGTGCAAACCCTTTTCTTTGGGTTGGGGAGGAAAATTGCAGGTGTAGGGGGGGAAGATGGGGGGA